TTGACCAACACAAAGGCGGGGGGGGGGTTCTCTCCATCCCATATCTTGCTTCAAATGTACGAAGCTGCTCACATTAAAAACCCTTCCCCCTTAGGGTGTATGTAAAATCGTATTGAAATTGGAGGATTTGGGACTGTTAGGGTTAAATATGACAGCCCCTCCCGATGACTGGTGTTTTTCCTTCAGGCATTGGAAATAACTCTGGTCACTGAATGCATATTTCCCGGTTACATTTATAGATTTTCCCCTTTTTGGGGGGTCGCAGTGCATTAAAAGATACATACTGTAAGAGGTTATAGGAAACTACACGGCAACATGGGCAGACTTTCTTAAAATGGCATTCTGTTGAAATATTTTGTAGAACTGATAAAGTACCTCTGCTGATGTATAATTTTGGGTTTAAACATATAACATGAGTATTTGTTACTAAAACGCTTTACATCAACATATATAGGTTTCTTTATTAGAACTGAATCTTAAAGAACTTTAACTGAAATGAATTTATCTTGAATAGTCAACTCCTCGCCCCTCAACCACAGAAAATTGAAAAAGAAAAGAAGCATACCTTTAAGATAGATAAGGAATACATTTTAACTTCAAACACAAATACACTACTTGCATTTAACCGTGAACATTCAGTGGAAATATACCAAATATATAAATATAGAAAGAAATAAATACTGTTGCCCATATTTGGACTCACAAATTTTACACTAACCCTCCACCATGACTATTCCCATTATGAACACAAAACTGTGTTAAGTATTTCGAAAAATAGCAAAGGAATACATTTGATGTATGGAGATTAAAAGAGTACTTCAGTGTAATTAGATTACTTTTATTAAATTTTGAAGCTTAAACAAAATTCTAATTAATCATTTATTAATAATTAATCATCATTCAAATCTAAATTTCCAAACTAATCTAAATTTATCTTTCCTCCTAAAATGGATATGCGCGTATGCAAGGCATACGCATTTCAAGGTGGCAACTTTTAACGTTTTCTCCTCGGACTCCTTATTAATGGCAAACAAGGAATCGGTTCATGCAAGACAAACATAATTTGTAGACCTGCTAAAAGAGTATGATTGCCAAAGACCAGAGAACTTTGTTTTTCCTGACGAAGATGGATCACCAGCAATAAAGTTATGACAGCAATAATAGTAGGACATACATGTATGAACAGTTTCAGGCCAATTGCAAAAATGAATACAATTTTTACTCCATTCACTCCCGTTTCCATTGTGGTCCCCCCCCCTTCGCTTGTGTAAATTTGCAACATATCTTGACTTCTCATTTCCAACCAAATAAGTAACTAAATACACAGAAGTTAGAAACTAGTTGAGATCGTGAAAAAGCTTCTTGAAAAAATGAAAGTACCAGCAAACATATCCAGAAAGTCTGCTAGGTAGAAAAAATATGGGACCCTCTCCAATTTTTCCCCCTAAAAAAACCTGGTCGAAAAAATGTCGTACTCGGCCCAATTCTTCCGAGGTTGATTTTCTTCTTACCGCCTGAATCTGGTGAGAAACATTTAATCCTAGGCTGCTTAAGTGTACTTTTATGATATTGCTCACAGTTATCCAGGAAGGAAATGGGTGAGTACAAAAGAAAATATATCCTTGCAGAATTGTTGAATGAATATTCCAATGGGCCTTTGGCAAACGTACTTGAAACAAAGTATCATACTAACTGACCAAAAGGGTAAAAGCCAGTCACAAAATAGGAGACTACATGCATCTAGGGCTGGATAGCTCAGCTTTTAGAACACCGGTCTTGTTTTGATCCTGGGTTCCAATCCTGTCAATTTCCTGACTAGATTCAAAGGAACCTGATTTAGTTTGACCTACTGTTCCATGGCAATTCTGAATGTAGTCAGTTTTCTTAATTTTTTAGCTTAAAAAAGCCTGTTCCTCATTCGCCTGGGTCTTCCTATCAGTGGCCTACGTTCCTCACCGGAGTCGCTAAAGACCTGGTCCGGGTGATTGTTGCTTAAGAAAGTCCAGTCGTAGTCAGATTCAACCTGTGACGGGATGCTCTGCGTACAGCCGCCCGGACCCCAGTAGATCAGGGCATTCAGGAAGGCTTGTAAAGGATTCATGACCGCCTGCAGAGGACAAAAGAAATCATTCAGCAACAAACAAGCAAAAAACAGATGTCGTGCCTGTATCCATGAGATCACTTGTTTATAAGAACATCTCATTTGTTGCATGTACAGCACTTGTGCCAAGTTCTAATCTCCATTTGTGTTCTCACATGTATTTTAATGTTACATCAATGCACAAAATGAAGCAAAAAAAGGGCTTCAGACAAGATGTATTACCAGGATCAAGTTTGATCTGCTATTGTCGGCTTTCTGGATACACACAAACCCAGAGTAAAAACACTCACAGGATTTGGCTTTTGGGACTTCCTTTGGACATTTCGTCAGACCACATCTGCTTTTGGTGGTCTGAAAAGGACCAATGTCGAACTGTCATTTTACACTCTGAATAGCTGCCTACAAAATCTATAGGCTTGATGAGCAGGGGTAACGAAGGATGCACTCACCATAGTACTCCATACGACTGCGTGGAAGGGTCCAAAGGTATGCCAGGATGTTTGATAGGTGGCTAAGTTGTTAAGCAAAATGCAACCATTGATGACATTCGGCAGCCAGCTGAAAAAAAAAAAACAACAGAATCCCCCAAAATATTACCAATGATTGTCATGGAAACAAAGAAATAAAAGGAAAAAAGGTCAGGAGGTCAGGATGATCAAGAATTTTCCAAATCCACAGCAACCAATGCAGTCGTCACCTGCTACCTCATTCAAAAAAGTCAGGTTTCAAGTCTATGAGTAACATCAGCGTGATGAAGGAAAGGTCGTAAGATCACAGAAGATGTGTACGGCAATTTTTTGTGATCTGGAACCTACCAGAAGGTGAAGACGAGGATAATGAATAAGAATTTTCGCTGAACTTGACTCTGAATCTGGCGCTCTCTGTCAGTGAACATGTTGCCACGCATCAACAGTGGCCCAACTGCAGAAGAAACAACACACACAGTGAACAGCAAACACAGTTTAATTACTGTTTGGCCAAATCTGACATTTGATTAAAAGGAAGTAAGGCTGTGGACAAGTCATGCTGTGGATATGATTCTGTACCGTCAATACTGTTTCTCGTAAAGTGGTATTGGAATGCGGTCATTAGGATGATGATTTCGAGCCAGCCGATCCCAAAATGGCCACTCTCTCCAGTGGTTATTGGCTATCCTCAGAAGCCCATCCAAGGCAAACCAAAAGCCCCTTACACTGCAAACATGGAGCAGTGAACATGGAGCTCCGATCTGAATTTTGGCTTCATTTTTGACATTATCTTAAACTTCAGTCTTATTTCAACAACTCCTCTTGAACCAAATGAAAACAGGCCACACCTCATTGTTGTATTTACCAAGTGAAGTTTCAGTTTGTTAGCACTGAACCAGAGTGCCAGAGCTCGTCAGGGGATCAAATTCACCAAAAATGACACCATATGACCCCGAGACAATCCTCTTTGTGCTCAAAGAGCAAGAGATGGGCACTGGGTGTGGCTTTAAGAGGCAACACTGCATGTGTGCACAGGTTTAAGTATGTTTTCACATGGAACGCATCGAGCACACCCAACCAATTTCTGTTAAAAAGCACTGTCCTTCCATGTGCACCCTGCATCAAATTGAACGTTTTCCCACCAACCTGTCTCTTCTCAGCCACTCAGGGGTACTTCTTTTTACCGTACTTTTGTGGAGTGTGTCAAAGTTTAAGTATTCAAAGTGGTATTATGCAGAATTGCGCCAGCTAAGTCATGTGACCTATAATGAATCTCAAACATCAACAAACATGGCGTCCTTCCACAGCAAAGTATGTCATAAGTATTGTTTATCAAAAGCAATGTATAGTGCTCAGCACATCAGTTGTCGGAGTACTTTACCGACCACTGGCTTTCTTTTTTTAGTAAATTGACTTACAACATTTTGCTATGGGAGGAAGCTATGTTTGCTGATGTTTGATACACATTACAGGTCACACAACTTTAAGCGGGGGCAACGGGTCTCTTGCAGGTGGTATTGCATTTACAGGGTAACACAGTTAACGATGCTCCAACTGTAACGTTGATGGCAGGTGTGAAGCTGTCACTGCCAAACAATCTTTGTTTGTGGTCATTGTAATGCCGTACATGTACCTTTCCTAGCAGAGAACCAGTACAAGACTGGATTCACTATAAGCACAATCAGCATGGGTATGTAGGACACCAGGTAATGAGGCAACAAGCTCTCCCATCTCTTATAGGTGGGGTCACAATGGAGACTACTGCAAACAAACAAAAACGAAACGACCATCAGGTATTGGGCCATATCAAATCTAAGCTTCATGTTTGACTTCATTGGTCTTGGAATCCGAATTTAGCCTCTAACAGGCACTTCTCCAACCAAATTCAAGTACTCAAAAAATTTGGCCTTGGATTAAACAATCTAATGTGTCTCTAGCAGAGAATGGGACTGAATTTAACCAGAAGGTCTAAAATTGAAGAACTATTCAATTATTGAGACCCTAGAGCTACAAACCTGGGTTTGTAGCTCTATGTTGAGACTGAAGCCTGATACCCCAAGACAGAAGTAAAATCCAGATTTGGAAAATCGCTGAAGAGTGATGTGGCCTTGTAGTCTGATGTGTCCCACTCAAAACCTTGAGATTAAAGCTGGGTACAATGCTTAGGTCCTAGTCAAATCCACTGGGTTATGGGTATGTCCATGGGCAAGACACTTTACTACAATTTGCTACTTTCCATCAAGGGGTAAATAGGCACGAGCGAGGAGAGGGATGGGTGTTGCAGCACCAAAGTGTATACTCCTCAATGAACTGTTGGTCTAGGTCTCGGGAATACATCATTTTCATGACAACCAGGGCTGATGACTCCCAGAATGTCACATTAATGGTTGGTTAAAGCAAACTGATACAAATTTCCTTGACGGTTTGAATTTCTGCTATTTGTTGAACTTGAACATTGCTGTTAAGTGAGCTAGCAATCAAGCAGTAACTGGACAAAACTAGAATTGAACTGTAGCGTTAACTCGTGGTGAAAAATAGAGCTTTTCATCTTCAGATCACATTTCGGCAGCAAATGGAATAACACACGAAAAATAAGTACACTTGGTTGAAGCACTCAGAGCAATGCAAAAAATGACTGACAAGAAAACAGTGCTGGTATCAATGCTCATATCACATGGCAACTCGCTGGTATCAATGCTCATATCACATGGCAACTCGCTGGTATCAATGCTCATATCACATGGCAACTCGCTGGTATCAATGCTCATATCACATGGCAACTTGACTTACCCTCCGGGAGACGACAGGTACATGGACAGCAGTCCTGTAATCACCATGATGGCTGGAACCAACCAGGCTAACACCAGGTAGATACGAAACATCTTTCTGAATAACAAAATTGAAAACAAACTTTGACCCACTGGTATACAATAGCTATCACCCCCCCTCCCCGCACACACCAAACAGAGAAAAAAACACTTCTAATTTAAGCCATAAGTTGCTGGTTGAATCCAACCTTTTTTCCGTATGAAATGCTTTGAAGCTTCAAAGCAAAAAATATGTTAAAATCTTTCAAATAATTGCACTGCTCTGGGGTAAAGACAAAGTAAAAAAACAAATTAGAAAGCGACTTTTAGCTTCTTTTGGAAGTGAATCCTTCTTGCAAAGCCTCACCTGTTGCTTCCTCGTAGCATAAGGTTAACGTCAAGTGCATAGAAGAAAGTCCAAAAATAGGTAGCCACATAGAAGTACTGTATCCATGCCTTCAAATAGGAGGAAACAGTAGTAACAAAATGCATCTCCTTTTAAACCTAAGAATTAACTCACCGGACAGAAATATATATACGTACAGCGAAATCGTCCAAACAGTTGACAAAAATGGAAGAGTATGTCAGGGCTTATGTCCCCCAAGGAAAAAAAAAACAGGTGGACTACAGAATTGTACCTAATGAAAATTCCTGGACTGTAACACGTACTACAAGGCAGACAACGAACAAGTAATTTTGAACGTTACGAATTCAAGGCTTGCTTGTTTCACATAGAACCGAATCTCACTAAGTGTTATGTTGCTGGTTCACTGACACCAGAAATCACCTAAAGGAGCAAACCAGCATTGGGATCACTGATCGTGATCCAGATCTGCAGGAAACAAGCACACCCCCAACTGTTCACATATACTACATACATGTCATGTATACACTGAACTGTAACAAAAGTTACATGCAGGTAATCCGTGAAAGCACATGTACGCTTAACTTAACAAATAAGCTTGTCTGCGTCCTTCTCTACCCCGACGCCAACATGGGTGAGCCACTCATCGGTACTTGTTTCACATGCAAAGTGTGGACGTTCCTTTGTTCTCCTGTGGTTAAGGTAACTTGGGAAAAAGGCTGCTTTTTCTCCAACCAGGATAACTCTTTTGAGCTGGATTTGTGATGATGATTTCCTGGACTATTCCTCTTCATTTTGCCTCAGATAACCTTGACCTCAAAATGCCTCTGAAGCTTTTTTTCAGAGAGAGGAAAAACATTGTGTGGACGTGTGCGAGTCCACACAATGCCATCATACCCTACATTATGTGGACTTCTTTTGTGCAGAGGTCCACACTATGTACGCCACGCTTGCATACATGTAAGTACATGTTATCATTGACAGTGATTTCCACAAGATTTACATTTGTATTTCAAAAAGGCTCATCTCACGGCTGTGAGCTGAGCCACATGGGTTGTGACAGATGACAAAACGACCATCTCCCACCCATCTGTGAGAGTCCACTAGACACTTTACCGTGATGATGATGCAGGCCCACTTCAGGACAGGACTTTCGCTGATGTCCCATTCGATGGAGTCAACATCATTCAAACCCACGCTGGCAATGGTCAGTACACCTGTTTTAATAGAAATAAGGATTAATGCAAGACTTTCCCTTTGACCATTTCCTGTTACAGGAATTCTATCTACAGCCTACACGTAGGAGGGGATTTCAAAATCATCAGTGCCGCAGAACGTTCATCATAGGCAGTGTGTGATTTTGTTCTGAAATTCCGTGTAACAACCTGCTTTGCACAGTGTGTGCTCAACAAATGTACTGACCTGAACAATTCACAGGCTTCTGCATGCAATGATTCACTAGTCAAGTCCTTAGGCCCCGTGCGGCATGGGGGAACGACAGTGACGCAGTCGAGTACTGTTGGAGTATCAACTTCGGTGTCAAATATTTAACTGGTTCAGAGGGAACAAAGCTAAAGAACACTGATGGTGCACGCACAAGATAAAGTACCATGATGGCTTTGGACCATTAGTGTTTATTAAATAGTTTTTATGATGAAAATACTCACAAAGTACTCAGCCAAGTACTTTCGGAGTATTTTTCTCTTCAAAATGTGAATTTTACAAAACTGGGAGTGTCTGAAGTCTTGAATTTATTTTGCAATCTTACATACTGAATAAGTTGTGCATCTACCATCAACTGCCTATGTACTCCAGCTTTATTCCATCCTGATCAGATTAATATTTGACAGAGACCCTTAGTACTTGAGAAGTACTTGACTAAAACATGGATGAAAGAGTATTTTTGTCTGAACTCAGTTTTCCAAGTTCACATAAAATCTATTTCTTCTTCACTCTAGTTGAAAGTGTGGTCACAGTGCCAGAGTTTAAGAGCAAGGCAAAACTTATTGTACACGGCCAAAATAATTCAGATTGCTGGCAATTTGCTAGGCATTACTTGAAGTATCACTCATCAACATGCTTCGCATCTGAAAATTACTGCAATTCTTTCCAAAACACCATTAGAGGCCACTTCCAAACTGTCTTTGTTTTCAATGCAACAGAAAACTCGAAACTCAACTCTGCTACTTCGTCCGGAAAGAAACAAAAGTATCTTTACATACTACTCACCAAGACATGCCAACACGTCAGCAACAGAAAGCCATGTCAGGATCTTCTTCTGCCTCTCCACAGCTCTGAGGGACCTCCCCTGTCTGGGTATGTACGACTTCTTCGGGAAGAGAATGTACACTGCACCCAAAATACTCAGGCAGGAAGACAGTATGGCTAAGATGTTGAAGACGCGGAGAAATGTTATCACGTCCTCTTTATGTTCAACCCAGCTTCTGTTCGTTGCCTTAACTTTAACGGCAACGCTCAGGTTCCGGAATGCACAACACACCAAATCAAGAGTTGGAGTTGCCATGATAACTGGAGACAATCAGTGCTATAGGTCTCGGCGGTGCATGCAAAAGTCGTCTGGCACCCTTCACAGCTGCAGCAGAGCAGACTAACTAACCACTGCACACATAAAGAGGGTCTGGGGTTCAAGTCTTATTTCCAAAAGCTAAATATACATATTGTCATTTGTTCCGAAAGCTTAATACAGTCTCAGCAAACACGGTTTTGAAGTACATAACATGCCGTCTTGACGCTCCAACTTACGTGTATGAATACTCAGGAAGCTTCCTTCTCCCACAAACATGAAACTGACGTTGTAAAAGTTGTTTCCCAACGGTAAATTTTGTACATCTACAGAGCGGGACTTTCCAGAGGTACAATGCAGAAAAGAGAATACTTGGAAGGAAACTGGTCTGAAACCAAAACTCTAATACTCAAATATCAGGTTACAACATCCTTGGCCGAGCAAGTGAATACAAAAACACCAGCCTTAAACTTCCTGGTTATTTGATATTGCATCGGTGTTCACCTTGCTCACCACAAGCATCTGACATTTCCATTCACTTCCAGATAACACGGTCACTGTCACTTCCTTCCAATCACATTGATTTCCTGACCTGGTCCAGCATCAAGCAGTCAGTAGAACAATTCTGTATGCTTCAGCGGGACAAAAATAACCCAGATTAATGGCACAATTGTTTAGGGGGTTTCCACAGTCCTGCCCAGTGATTCTTAGAATCCTCTATTGTGATAACATTGTCGACACACCTGCTTTGTCTGTCATTCCGTGCATGTGACTCCAGTTAAGTGTACTCTCTGAAAAATACAGTCAACAAAAAAATCAAATTTAGCACAGACTTATTCCAAAGTAAGTACTTTGAATGCGTACATGCTCTCTGAATTTCATTTCCTGGGGTTCAACTGTTTTAAGAACAAACATTCACAACAGTTTTTATTGGCACCACGGAAAATGAAACAAGGAAATAAGTTATCATTTATTGCTATCATAACACCAACACTAATTCATGCGAAGTTGTGGACAGTGTTTTTATTGGTCGAACAACCGTCAGTCAGACAAATTTAATCGTTAGCACAAACGAATCATGTATTTAGGTATAAAAAAGCAAGAGACCGAAGCTGATTGAATCTTAACCCTAACCTTCCCAAATTCTCTTTGCAGGAGAATGCAGGATGGATGCTGTATGACAAAAAAACTCCGGGCTGATTTTCAGGGATTCAGAGTGTCAAGGTCTTGAAACAAACCTGCTGCCATGTTCAGCCATGCAAATAAACATGCGCCAGGAATTCACAAGTATACGTGTACATGTAACCTGTCGGTCATATTGACAATTACTGCCAGCTATGTGTTATGTGTTATATTTATTGCCAATGTATTCATGTTCACAGGGATGGCTTCTTCAAAGTTTCCTGTATTACTGTTCTCCTGCACAGTGGAGAGATTTTTGGAGGACTTGGCGAGATTATCTTGGAATTTAGAGTCGAAAAAGATTCATGGAAGGATTATGATCAATTGACTTGATTCATGCAATCTCTCCTTGCCTGAAAAACCAGATTTGCATTTTCTTGATCACTGATATTCTTGAAGTTCAAAATCCCCCCCCCTAAATAAAAAAGAGTCAAACTAATTTTAGAACAGAAACAGAAATTTTATCTTTGTGGTTTGATTCTCCCATCTACAGCCCGGTAAAAAGTCTGATGACCCTTTCCTTCAGATCATAGAATGCCACTGTGACTTCTGACATGGTTTAAAGTCTAGTGCAGTGTATAACAGTCATGTAAATGCATACAGGAAGGACAGTGGGTTTTAGACCTTTTTTCAGCTGCAACCACAAGTCTGGTATCCTTGGAAAGAGCTGCTTGGGAGAAGGTCATTGGTGTATAAATCGCCATTAAAAAATCACCTTTTTTTCTTAAAATTTAATTAAAATTACTTCACTTGACAACCAAAAACGGGCATTTGTTTGAGAAAAACATTTGCAAGCTACATGTACCACTAAACAAACGAATTGTAAATGATGTCAGTCATGCTACTGTAACCTTTCCAGTCTATAGAACGGCCAGAATTTCTAAACTTCTGTTCAGTGTTGTTACGAAAACCGCTCTTAAATACTTGCTACTGGGTGGATTTTTCTTGAGCAAGACAGGATGCCGGGTCCTTTTCAAGATTTTCCGTTTTCAAAATTCTTCAAAATTTCATCATTTCATTTAATGGCCGTTTATACCTACATGAAGGACTCTTTGGGCACTACTCTAAAGCTGACAGTTACCTTCATTGACTTTTGAATATTTCAGCCAGGCCTGCAGCCTTGGAAAAAGAGCCCAGATTGTGCGGTGTTACGTAATATTCTTTTGTTCCCAAAACCGGCACAGTGCACTGCTGACCTCTTTTCAATAGGGGCCAGACTAGCATGCAGCGGTGCTGTGAGGCTCATCGCTGCGATGGTGGAGCACTTTTGTCCCCGTGGTAATCCGCTCGCTCTAAATGCCCCAAACCGTGGCATACTGTTTCAAAACAAGGCTGGATTATCTCCACTAATGAGAGCAAAAAAATGTCGGTAATACCCAGCAGCCCCGTCTTTTGTGCTGAGCACGGTCTTTTGTTATAAGGCCCAACTCTTTTGTCCCAGTTCCGGGCTCCATGGCTCTGCATATAAAGCCTATGGACTCGAAAACGGGTTGCCCGACAGGAAGTGGTTAAACTTGCTCCTGCCAAGTGAAATGAAGTGATGAAGACATAATCACGTACGGTAATAATTTACTATCGCCTTTATATTCATGAGAAATTGCAGATCTCCATTTTAGAAACAAAATATCTTATAATCAGAATATTATGGGGCATGGATATATGTGTGCACAACATGCTGTTGAACTTTGCCTGTCTGCTTGCAAAGTTTAACAAAAGTGTTTAGGGCCCAAATGCGACAATATCTTTGAAGAACAAATAAACTTGAGCGTAAAAACTCCAACATTTTTCATCAACACCTGGCTCCTCGACAATGCTCAGATCTAACAGTGTAAAAGACATGAAACAAAGTAAATGCACAGTTAACATTAAAACCCTCATTGTCATAACTCGTTATTGAAGTCTCCTTGAGATTTTCCTACTTTCAACTTAAAACAACTTCTTTGGTGAACGCTACGAATCTTCTTCTGTTAACAAACATGACATCATTTTTAACTGCAACATGGAACATGAATAAATGTTGCAACATGACAAAAATAACTGCAACCTTTTCAGTACAGCGTGGGAGATATTCGGCACTCATTACCATTAGCACCCTGTTCCTATAATAAGGAATCACAAAGTCTATCTTTTCAAGACAACTTACCTAAATAAGTTGGTGGTGATGTCCTCTTTCATATCAGAAAGAAAAGAGGGAAGGGCTTTGGATTTTGAGGGATATTATGGGTAAAACGGCAGCGTAAATTAAGAGAGGAAGAGCTGTGAACAAGGATAAGAGCATGTAGTCTGGTTCCATGTTACGCCCCAACTATAGTTGGGACAGTTCCAACTGTAGTGCTGCAGTTGGGCTGGCCCAACTATTGTTGACCAATGTCTGTGGCAAATGTCTCAACATTATCCAAGTCAA